GCGTGGTTCATCAGTAGCTCGGTTCTCTGATAAAGAGCGCATGAGCAGACCGCCTCATCTCCTATTTACAGTCAGCTGACTCATTTTGCAGGTTTTCCGCCGAGTCCAGCTTTGCTATTCACAGATCTCTTCGCTTGCTCACAATGCGAACTTCTTCTCAGTTTATTAACAATAAATGGCACCAAAAAAGCGCGGTGCAACCTGGGCTGAATTTGGTGGAAGCTGCTAATCAGGCACATCATTTCCTGAATGTTATGGGCGGCGCCATTTTTGTTTGAGTAATTCTTGCCTGGAGAGCTGTAGCATCGTGGACCGCCAATAGGAGGCAAGGAACCGTGCTAGCGTGATGTGTAAATGGTCGTAAGGAACAAAGCTCGGCACGTTTAAATGATCCAAGTTCGATCGGAACTCGGCACGGATCAGTTTCAGAGGGGTAGTGGAAATGAGGCTCCAATCACAGAAACTAGAAAGCAATAAACTACAAATGCAATGCAAATACATCAATACGCTACAAACGCATAGTGATGTCAAGACGCAAACACAAAATGAATAAAATAAAGCTCTAAATAGTCAAAATAAACTTCACATTAAGAAAAGCTGAAAACTTGCTCAGAATAACGGAAGTGCTCCAGACCACTAGGGGGAGACAATCACTAACTTGAATTGGGCTAGATCGTTACAGAAGACATGAGAATAAGAATTCTGAGAAAAATGTCAGAATTCTGAGATTAAAGTAAGAATTCTGAGAAAAATGTCAGAATTCTGAGATTAAAGTAAGAATTCTGAGATTAAAGTAAGAATTCTGAGAAAAAAAGTCAGAATTCTGACTTTTTTTCCCATATTAAACTGAAATAAAATTTAAAAATCAGTTAACGTTTTTTTTTTTTCCAGTGGCCCTTATCCTCTTCCGTAGAAAACGCCTCATATGGTGTTAGAATATTAGATCAATAAAAACATTTTAATGCAGAGATCTGAGCTAAATGAAAAGTGCTTTTGATATCTGCTTAAATGTTGTTTTTAAAAAGTATTTAAAATCTGTTAAACAAGTCTCAGAGTTATTGACTGAATCATTTTTTATTCACATTTTTCGTTAAAAATGAGGAATTAGCTGTGAAAACGCTCTGCTCTGCCTTAAAGCAATGTTTCTAAGCTTGATGTGACTTTGTTAAGTGTGCCAATGATGTTTCCAGCATAAACCTGATCACCGGCGTAGTGGAGGAGGAGCAGCCCAACCCCATGGAGGGAATGAGCGAGGAGCAGAAGGAGTACGAGGCCATGAAGCTTGTCAAAATGTTCGACAGACTTTCCAGGTTTTAGAAGTTTTCTGTTAACCTGATAATCGTAGCGTTCACTTTATTAGGTACACTGCAAAATATTTACTGTTTAGAGCTCAGAACAAAGGTTTTAACTTTAGAAAATGTTTTTAAAATGTTAAAAATCTAAAAGAAAGAAAACCGTATTTAGAAGCTGACAAAGTAAAGACATGAATAAACCGTCAACCTGCTCATTAGATAGTATTTTCTATTTTTATTTTATTCTGTCGCTCTTCCATTTAATCATTTATAGAAAATTTCTTAACAGTAAACATAAAGAACATTTAAGCATTTATAGGGATTTGGAAATGGTAATATTGAAAAGAAAATTAGAAATTAAAAGTTAACAATAACAGTGTGTTTATCATA